TAATCTGTGAGGTCCCTTCCAACCCAAACCAGTATAGGATTCTATAAGTTTGTCATTTAGAATAAGAAAGGCTCCCATCAGAACCATGAAGCAGAAAAGAAGAATGGAGAACATTAAAGGTTAAGACACTATGCACATACACAGAAAAAAAGAAAAAAATTAAATAGCATAAGAGTAAAATAACAAATTATGGCATTATTTACACATATTCAACCCAATATCCTGCTTGCGTGTGCTGGGTAAAACAATACTGCTGCTCCTTTAAGAAAAGTAAGTTGTCTGCTTTTCTAAGGTGTTTATAACTTTTCCAATGATGCCATGGTAGAAAGTGAAATTCTTGAATGAATAATTAAAGTGACAAGTAAAAAAAAAAAATCGGAGTGTCTCATACTTTTACGTTTATATGCGATAACTGCATCACCAAGAAAGCTTGCAAGGTCATTTCTAATAGTTTATAATGATGAACTGCAAATTATTTTCTTAACCAAACAGAATCCTTTTTAGAGATGCAATGGATAATATGAGGCTATCCAATGATAAATGAGGAGGAAAGTCATAAATGTTTCATGAAGAGATACTGCGTAATCATTAATCCATTATTTTAGCTTTTGACTTGCAGGACTATCTAATCAAGCATCTCAGACAACTCATGTTTATGTAGAGAGAGTAGCTATATCAGTTCTTTTTCTTATGTAGCACTTCAACAGATGTGAGCAATACCTTTCAGCAATGCATTCCGTGCTACGGCTAAGAGTGCACCTAGAAAGTAAAAAGGGGTAGCAGGTAACAAACGGAACCATATTATTTTCTAGCATGTTTTCAAGACAAAGCTTGATAAGACAGTGCACAAGACATTTTCAAATTTGCTTAGTTTTTCAAATAATATCAACTTTATTTTAGAGCAACATCTACAGCTTTTTACAGGGGACATAGCCTCTTAGCTCTGTGTCTACTCCTTTATATTGTTTTGTAGACACTGGATACCTGTGAAAGCATTGATGCTTTCTGCGTGTTCTCGTGTCAAGTCAGGACAACACTCCTGACCTTCCCTTTCAGCATTCCCATCTATTTTTATTAGCCTCTCCTTCTGTTGTAGCTTTAAAATATGACAAGTGGAGAGACAGCATAAGGTTAACACACTCGAAGATGAGAATGATGTTGAACTTCAGGGAACTCAACACAAAGTGTAGGAAAGGATCAAAAGATTCAGATGTCAGAATCAGATAGAATAATGTTCACTGATTACTGAAGCCTATCTCTGTGATACATAACGTAGTTCCAGGAAAATGTGAAGAACAGACTTTCAGGAGATTTGTCCCTCTTTCAGATGATCCTGAAACAATGTGAGAAGGATTTTTCATCACATACTGGCCAGTGGCCAATGGAGAAGTGCAAAACAGTGCGGAAGAACTATTTGGGCTTGGCTCTGGCAAAAGAACAGAAGTATAGTCTTTACAATACTAGTGAGAACTCATTCAAAAAGACCCAAAAAATATATGAGTCTTGGTCTTAGTCGTCATACAAGCAGTGTGATATTCTAATACTAAGTAACAAGAAAATCTTGAAGGTTCACAACAATACTCTTTTAATGCTTCATATATCAGAAAATGCTGACTTTGTGTTGAGTCATAAAATGACAAAACCTGATCTACAGTTTTAAGACATTGGGGGTTTTTTGTTTACTAAATGTTCCCCAGACCAAAAGTAATTTTCCTCCAGCCATCCAGATTTTTTTCAAATTGGTGTTACCCAGACAAATTGTATCAGAAATAATTATGCTTATTGGCATTACCCAGCTTCCTTTATGGAAAGGTTTCAGAGAACAAATTGGAACACACTGTAAATCTGAACACAGTTTACTATTTTATAAGGAACATAAGCTTTTTTTGTTGTCTGATTTTTATAACCAAACCATTGTTTAATAATGTATCCTATTGCCATAGAATACACAGCAAAACAAAGAAAATCGTTTGGGGTACAAATGCATATGGCAATGTTATATGTTAGGAACATTCTGTAAGATGGAAGCTGTCTTTTCGGCAACGTTTATCTATAATATCCTTTGGCAGACCTGTTGAAGTCTTCAGCAGACTCTGCATTCTTTGTTCATTAGGTCCAACTCTTTGCAATAGGACTGAAAGGGTCTTAGCTTGATTTTCTGAGAAATGTAAAAGATACTGCATATGGACAAGGGCAGTTTATGGTATTTATTAGATATCAAATTACTCATAGCCTAAACCAGCCTTTGGATCCAAATCTATTTAGTCATTATTATATTAGTATCCCTTTTACAAGGAGTTTTGCTTTTCTCTTTGTGACTTGCTTTCAAACATAAGATATCACACTTAAAAAATACAAAGCTGAGGGTGTGGTAAAATGTTCTAAGATTGTGGAGTTGATTTTTAACACTTTTGATTCAACCCTTCCTCATGTACAGAGTGGGGAGAATTAGTACTCTTTTATACAGCACACAGAACAGAAGAACATAATACAATGATATTATAAAGACATGAGCAAGTTTGATCAGTTGTCCCATGGCTGCGTGACATACTATATGCTAATTAACTGCCAATCCCATTCATTAATATGTCAGTGATGCTGACTAGGAAAGAAAGACTCAAGAAAAAAAAAAATTCACCTATTAGCTTAGTAATATAGAAGTATTTTCAAGTCATTTTGTGTGCATGAATAATTGCAGGCACCCAAACCCGTGCTACACAATAACACAGATTATACAAAAATGTGTTTTAATCAGGAGTGGATGACAGAGATATAACAAGGTAAGCAAAAAAAAAAGTATAATAATTTACGATATTAAAGCTATCATACCATTTAGAATATTAAAGCTATCATACAAATAACTTGAGATCTAAGACTGAATAACTAATGGCAAGAACCTCAGAAAAGGCACAGATATCTTTCTCCTGAAAGCCACCAGAACCACCTGAAATTATTTTGATATTATACATCTTTTGGAATGGAAAATTAAAATGTTTTGTAAGAAAGTGATGACTTTCAAGAAGAGTAATGGAAAAGTTTGAAACATCTCTTTAACAGTGTCACAAGTACTTCATTGGGAGTTAAAATTTATGTTAGATCTAATATATTTAATATCTTAACATATTAAATATTCATAATCTGAGTAGAGGAGTTCTGTAGTAGTGCTAGTTGGAGAATGATGATTTTATTTTATGACAGCTTTTAAGGCTTGGATTTTTTTTTTCCACCACACATTAGGATGCAGAGTAAAAAGAGGAAACGAGTAAGCCAACCTCTTGAATATTTCACAGAACACAGCTGTGTGAAGATGGTAAGTCTCTCTCTCCCTTTCTCCATTTTGTCAGTGTTTCCCCTGTCCTCTTTCTCTCTAGCTATTCTGTCCCACAGACACCTTCCTTTGAAAATGTTTCCAAAGGCGATAAAACTTTAAAGATGTTTTCTGCTTTGAATAAATATGCTTTTTCATTGAAATTATTCAATCCAATTAAAGTATATAGCAAATTTAAGAGGCTAGCCTAAAAAAACCCTTTTAATATTATGATAAAAATCTACAAGTCAATTTTAAATGTTTACTGGAAATGAGTATATAATCAATTCAATCTAGTGTGAAGGACTATGATTGAATGAGCTTAAACATGAACTTTCAAAATGCCAATATATCAGAAATGGAAACTGCATCCCAGAAGACTGCTCTGTCAACTGTATTTCAGAGCATTTCATTCCTTTGTAGCATCCACAACACCTGATTTCCAGTGACTTTGGCTGTAATAAGTGTCAAGTGTAAGAATATTAAAATTCTTAAATACATCTAAAAAGTGAACTTATGTCCAGGAAAAAACGTATCACTGGAAACCAAATGCAATGTCACACATTCATCTAGTAAAAAGCTTTCCTTACTAATTACAGGAACAGAAGTGGAAAAAGAAATTATCAATATTGGCTATGAAAGGTCCTTACTGCATGTTTCTTGAGAAGCAATGGATCTTCTGCATAGGCAGACTGCTGAATACCACAGTGTCTCCTGAGGAACGTGGGGATCTACCAGTTTGCTTCCTCATGATTTTGGAAACAGAACTGCTGTTTGTGGCAAACCAATCTAAATAGAGTAAATGTATGATGAGTCTACTTCTTACAGGACCCTGATCTAATTTTTTAAGCTTGAGACCTATAAAGCTGAACACTGAGTATTAATTCCATTTTCTTTGCACTGCTATTGCAAGACTGCTAGTTATTTCTGCTGAGTTGAAAAACTTATCATCTCATTTCAAGTGGGCAAGACATGTCTCTTTCTCAGGCTGTTTCACCTAACCTCATCAGAAAGGTAGTTATCAAAATCATACTGAAATAAATTCAAATAAAATTTATTCTACCTACCAGTAAGTTGAGGTTTTAGCTAAGCTATCAGGAAAAAAACAAACAAAACCTCACAAACAAAAAATGTCAAACAGATCAACTTCCTTATAGTTACTTCCAAAATGCAAGATCTGTTTCTGGGGAAATGGTATAAGCTGAAGGATTCTTGTGTGATACGTATATGAAGAACAATAAAAATCTGAATGTAAACCACAGAAATTCAGAAATGTAAAATGTATCCTTTCCAAAATCACGAGATCTTCTCCCTGTCAGGAAATTATTTCAACCAATGCTATTTTTCTTAAGTACAATGCAGTTCCGCACAACCTTGCACGCATGCACACATGTGCATTCACAGTACGTGTTTTTTCCCCCCACCCTTGGGTCAGATTATGCTACGGTAGAACAGATCTCCATCTTCAGACATTCTTTCTGATGGAAAAAAAGAAAATTAGTTTTGCTCAGTTTCATTTCTTCACTGCCAGCTGTAGCTCCTCAGACAACTCTAAACTACTTTTATACCTCCCTGGAGTGCGTGCTTCAAAGACATATGGACACTTATCTTGTCATTCCCTTATATCACCTTTGCCACTCTGTACTTTTCTCTTCAGGTTTTTTTCCTCTCTTTCCTCTAAACTATTCATGCTTACATGTATCCCTAGACAGTCTTTCTCAGCATTTTTCCTGCAGTGACTTGATAAAAGTAGGGCTGCATAAATCTGTGTGTGCAACTACTTAGATGAAAAATGCAGTACCAGATTGACTGACACAGTTGGCAAATACAGGCAGAATTCAGCAAATAGTTTCAGCCAAAATTTTGATAGGAAGAAGGATGTGTGTGGTTGAGAAAGCTGAAAAATTTCACTCTAACATTTTCTAAATTAAAAGAAAAAAAAAAAACAACACTCCACATTTCAAGCATTTCATTTATAAGTGTAGGCTACTAAACCAGAAACAAACAAACAAAATCCAACCACACTTCCAAACTAAATAATAAACCATTGAAAATTAAATGCACAAAATGTTTCAAATCCACCAATTTTTTTCCTTGTATTCTTTGGTTCCAACGCGTGAAAGCAATGGGGTTTTTTTAGACACCACTCCCCCCTCCAGAACTCTGGCTCTTTTCCCCTCTCTGCTCATTGATCATATATACTACTCAGAACTACACCTGCTACTACTCCAGGGGCAACCTCTCCATCATCCCATGACTCAGGCTGTGAAGTAGTGTCTCTCTGTTGGGTGTCCAGTATGGAATGGCATTCCCTCAAAAAGCTACAAGATATTTTTCTTTTTTTTCCCCTAATGTGCCTACCTTTATCTCTCTGAGGTTTTTCATTATTTGTGCTTTTGGTATTCCATTTGCATTTGTTGTAGGTTGTATTTCTAAATTCAGTCTGTTTATGTGTATAATTTACTTGTGTCACTGAGAGTTTCAACTCCTGTCAGTTTGGGACAAAATTCAAATTTTGGATACCCCACGTACAGAAACCAACACAACTCAGTAGCGATTTCAGGGTTCAAGGAGTGGCCAGTAGTGTAGTCTGCTAAATTAACAAGACCAAACCAAAATAAAACCAACCAGCCTCATCTAACAGAACTAGGGAAAAAACAAATCATGAAAACAAAGAGGAACAAAGCAATGCAAAGTATGACTGATTCTTAATTACCTAGTATTACAATTTATAGTATAGTTACTTATAGCAAACAAAATTTTGGCAGTGCCAGATGCATGTGAAATTCTACCATCCTGATTTAAATAGATACAAATGACAATACAGGTTTGGAGCACAAGAGGGTCATAATACAGCCAATGCACAGAATTTTAACCTCACCTTTCCAGTAGACTTTGTTCCTTTCCAAATGCAAAAATAGCAGATAGTCCAAGCAGCAAGGAGGCACAGTGCAAGTTCCCAGCGAAGATTCCCAATATGTTCAATTCCACCAGATATAGCTAGCACTCTTCGTCTTCAAAGGAGGAAAAAAAAAAAATATTGAAGCAAAACTGCACTACATATAAAATACTGGACTAAAACCAAATCAGCTTCAACTAAGGAGACTCCTAGTTACCGACTACTGAAAATGCACCATGCTAAGATAGAAGAGACAGAAGGAAAAAATAGAATATTCTCAGTGGATTTTACATCTGGTTAAAAATGAACAAATGTTTAATTTTTCCAGATCAGTGACAAAATATTTTTAAATAGCTTTTGTATAAAGTAAAAGTCAAAGAAAAAAAACCCCAAATTTCTTTGAATTAATATATGACAAATATAAGCCCAAAAGAAAACACTTCAATAATAAATGGTTTTTAATTTTACTGTTTTTTCAAGAAATAATTCTATCCTCTATTTTTACCTTATAACATTTATTTTCATAAATTTGTTTTTGTAATTGAAACTATAAAACCTTTATTTTCAAAACTGTCAAACACCAAAAATTTTCCAGATGGATTTTATTTAGAAAATGCTAACATTAAAACATGAATTTTTAAAAACAAACTTTTTGTGAAAAGTGGTCAGCAAAAATATGTATTGCATTTACTATTTGAAAATAGTGTATTTGAAATACTAGCCACTCAGTTCTGAAAACATAAGTCCTCATATATTTTAGGAACACCCCGCTCAGCCCACGGCCAAAGTATTTACTAACTTAGTAAAGAAGATAAAGAGGGTGAAGTGAGGTTTTTAGTTGTGTGTTTTTTGTGGGTTTTTTTTTTTTTTAAACCAAGAATTTGGGAACAGAAAAATCAAGTTACTTGCTAGTACTCACATAGGAAACCTGCAGGACCAGTTTCCAGAAAACTGGGTTAGCCTTTTATTCATGACAATGATTTTTTTTTTAATACAAGAATGATGTTGTTATCTGGGAGATGCATGGTCCTCTTATGCCCTTTTATTTTTACTTTAAGTAAACACTCAGATTAAACAAAATGTAAATTATTTATCAGCCCATAAATAAAACATGGCTACTCCTGGCTGTATGGATGAAGAGGTTAAAAAGAAGAGCAAAAATTTATTCCTATAACGCTCGGCGATTTCATGAATTCTCTTTAGACTTTTCAGCTGCTATTAAGCCTGAAAAAAACCCTATAGATGATTAAAAGACCTTTTTTTTTCAGGAATCTCAATTTTCCAGAACAATAAAAGTATGATTTAACTGGTATGTGATATCAGAAGTTGATATGAATTTAAATTCCATACATTCAGAGATTTGGAAACACCTCATCATTTTTAAACAATTTAAAGCAAGCAATTAGTCATTTACTAATTATACACACAGAATAATTAATTTCAGTCATTCACACCTTTTATCATCTTAATCAAATCTCTATAGGGACAGGTCATGGCTCATTCCATGTGTGTTTCCATAGATATATTTGCATACCTGTATACACACATATACACATTCACAGAAAAATTTCCAACATTCAACCTTACATAAATTATCCTGAGCAAAGTTTTCTCTGAAATCTCTATTACATGCTATCTATAACACCTCGGAGACCCTAGATTTACACTACCCTCCCTCCCCAAGACATTGTGAATGAAAATAAATGAACTGAATTTCACAGGTAGTCTGATATAGTTAAAAGCCCTGTAATAATAATCACTGTATTAAATATATAATTAATGTGCATAAAGTTATACAGATAATGTAATTAATTACAATAAAATATATTTAGGTTAAGAATTGAGTATTAAGTTCAAAAAAGTCCAACCTACAGTTACCCATATGAAACAATTCTTCCTTTTGCATTTGATTCAGTCATTAGCTTGGGCAATCAATTCAGAGAATATAAAGTATGATCACTGAATTCAAGGCCATGTCAAAAATAAATAAATGTTCGGGCTACCTGAGAAGGAATCTGATCTGACTCATTCTGCTTTCACCAGCAGTAGGTTGAAGATGAAGGGAAGTTCCTTCACCTGCCTCTAATGATGGAGTAGGAGGATGGAGACATCAACAGCTGGTGATATGGTGGGCAAATGAAAAGATCTAATTTTCACCAAGTCTCTCAGATGGCCATACAGATGCTGCAGAACCTATTCAGTCTTTCACACATTTCAAGAGCTGCAGCTGCTGTTCCTGCTCCAGCCCTGGGGTGCAGCCATTTAAAATGTATCTGTTAAAAGTCTACTGCTTAGCTAAGGCAGGACAAAATTGAACAGGTTAAATAAAAATCACCAAAAAACCCCAAACAACCCAAAACCCTAAAGCCTGTGGTTTGTCATCTTATTTTCCAATGAATATAGAGGTAGAAGATCTTTCCATTTAAAAAAAAAAAAAAAAAAAAAAGGAGAGGAGGGGAGGGGAGGAAAAGGGAGGGGAGATTACACCAACTTTTTGCAATAGAAAGTGTTATGTGCTTAAATGTAAAATTACAGCCACCTCATCCACGTTCCCCCCTCATCCAGTAAATAGCTTTATTGTGCAAAGCTTCTGCCATTATCTAGTTAGGGAGAGAAGTGATCTAGCATGGAATAGCCTCAGCTAGCTAAAACCTGCAAACAACCTTAAGAACCATCATTAAAATTCACTTGAAAATGGAGATAGCTTTTAATGAAGGATATATTTTAATCAAGAAGGGGAAGCACATATTTTATATCTACAGTCTAGAATTGAAAATAACATCACTGAGCCATAACTATACAAAAAGTGATGAAATAGATTCTTAAAATTCAAGAATTTTGATTGTTGTTTTGCTTAGAAATGTTCTAATTTTTATTTTCAAGTGGCATACTACATTTTAAAATTAATAGCATTTTTTAGAAAACTAAAACAAGAGAGTATACAATAAAAAAAACCCAAAATGTGTTTGGGCCACAATAATTGTGAAATAGAAACCTTTTTCATTCAGCTTTCTTTTAACTGAAAAAATAATAATGAACAAATTTCCTTAAGTTTCAAACCAACTTTTATTTTTCTTGCTATTTGGATGATAATGATGTACCTGTGCATCTAAACATAAGTAGCATTTCTTTTCCAAAATGGGGAGGTGTCAACACCTGTAAGATGACTGCAGTAACACAAATCAATGCTATGGAGAAATTTGTAAGCTTATTCAGCTACTGGATGCCGCAGAGCCATGCTAAGACAGCACTCAGCCTGGGCTAAGTATTACAAGTAGCTACTTGCCTGTAACGCACATGCCATGGATATAGCTGCGGTGCTTTGGTACTTCGGCACACAGACAAACCCCCAGCAACAGGAATGGCTCCTGGAGGATTGGTAAATTTATTTAAGAGAGGCCGGCAAATTCCTCACTTGAAGATTTGTGCATATCTATATGGATGATGAATTGCATCACACCACTCACTAATTCCCATGAATGCCACCTGCCCAGTCTCATGGTACCTCTCTCTACTCATGTCCTGCCAACAGCTACACATAGCGACAATCATTCCTCAGCTTCCAGATCCATGAATGTGTCAACTGAGATATCAATTTTTATTCAGCTGTCTTGTAGTGTGGTTGCAGAACTGCATGCTGTGACAAAAAGACATGGAAAACTTTCAATAATAATTCCACAGTGCTACCACCACATTGCAGAATAGTGAGCATGATGGAAGTATATGACTGATACATTGGCATACTTGGGGTTCAAACAGAGCTTGCAGAATTACTTAGACTCGCACCATAATCCACATCCAGCTGTCAAAGTAATGCATTTCAGCAGCCAGTCACTTGAATTACTACACTGTTCTTCCCTAACTGCATAACAACTTCTTAATAAACGTTATTACTCTCTCTCTCTCATGGTCGGAATGTGTCACATACCAAAAGGCAACTTTGCCTTGAGAACACAAGTCTCAGTGAAGATTCAAGATGAGGATTTTTAAAAGCAACCATTTTCTGGAAGCCGTCTGCAGAATGTCAACACAGTCTTTTCTAAACGCTCCATGAGAAGTCTCAAATAGCAGAGACACCTACCTTACCCATCCAAAAATCTTGGCCTGATTCTTTTGTAAAGAGTCTCATAGAAAGTAAATGGCAAATTAATGGCCTCAACACAATTATCCCTGCTGCTCCCATTTGAGAGAGACACATGGTGCCAATCAACTTGAACTGTTAGCACCATAATGAGTATTTAAATATATGAAGTGCCATGAATTGTTTTGTATTTTCTTTGTTCAAACAGAACAAAGGTTTAGTGTTTCCCTTAGAAAGTAAGCAGCAACAAGTCCAGAACACATAATTAAACTATAACATACAATGCATACAAAGAATAGATCCAGGGAAGAGAAAGTCTGGCTCAGATGCAAGCAGTGATTTCCTCAGCAGGCACAATGCTCTCCCTAATGCCAGGGCCCGAGCATTCCTG